GCCAGGGGACAAAGCCACCCGAGTCTCTTGCCTGGTCCCTGCGGTGTTGGCTTTCTCCCCTAATGACTCTTCTGTCTCTCTCCCTCCCAGGATCTTGCCCAGCAGACGGCAGCAGCACGGGAGCCTGAGCTCCGAAGGAACGCTAATCTGGAAACTAGGAATTGTACGGAGACTCCAACTCTGACTTCCAATAAAAGGAAAACAAATCTTTTTTAGCTTTGATAAACACACAAAAGTGGTAATAAAGAGAGCCCTCCTTCTCAACCCAAAATGTGAGCCACCTGTGGCAAAACCAGCCCCCCTCCCCCATTAACAAACCAACAGACAAAATTCTCTGAGTCCTTTGCCTCTTTTGATAACATGTTATTCTGTTTTGTAAAGTGTGTGTGCTTTGGGTTCTGAGGTGTGTGGAATTGAGTTCTTTGCTTTTTTTTTTTAAAAGATATTATATGTAAATGTAAAAAGTTATTTAAATATATATTTTAAAAACCCTAACCACCAACTTTTGCTGAAAAAGAAAAAAATCACTGCTGCATTAAATGAACCACATCATGTGTAGATACTGTTGTCTCCCTGGAGGGAGCTCAGGCCTTTGAAAAGCTCAGGGCTACACCTGCCTTAGAAAATGAACCAGAAACTTGAAGTAAAGCTAGTTGATATGGGTACAAACTCTGAGGAACAATGCAAAGCTCCCTCTTTCTCTCTCGTGGCAAATCCCAATGTACAAAGTGTTGGGGGTCTTCTTGGAAGCCATTCCTTTCCTGCCTACACCTTTAGGCAGGTGATGGAAACAGCTAGGAATAGGGTGCACAAGGTCTGCAGCACTGGGGAGTCACCATGAGCCATTGCTCCAGAAGCTCTAGGATGACAGAGACAATTCTACCTAGTATTTCAACCTGTCCCCTTGAGTAGGTCCCAAGTAAAATGATAAGAGTTCATAGCCCTGGGCAGTGTTCATGGGGTCCTCTTTTTGAACTCTAACTCCTGGGGCAGGGAAAAGGAGGCTGTCCGCCCTGAGTGGTCTTGACATTGGAGTCCTTTGCAAAAATATTTTGGACTTCCTGCCACTGGCTGCAGAAATGGCTTGATGGGTGTATGGGGGCAAACACCCAGGAAGAATAAGTTTTGTGGCCTTGGCATCGGATGGGGCTTGGGGAGAATGCTCTCCACCAGCCCTGCTGGGGTGTGCCTCTATGTGCTAGGGTCTATGTGGGGGCAGCCACTCCCCTCCGCTGCTGATTCCGTGGGCTGCCTTCCTGGGGCACAAGCCCGGACCCGGACCCCACAAGGTCTGCACTGAGCTCCATTTGAATGATACCCTTCCCACCCCCTTTCCCCATAGAAGCCCTACTTCAGGGTTAACTCAACCCTCTGCCTCATGGCAAAGTTGCTCATCTCACCTGCAGATGTCTACTATCCTGTCTACCTAATGCACTATTTTGTATTGATTTTCTGTGAGACAGAGAGGGAGACTGTCAGATAGTTAGACCCAAAGGGTAGGTTTTTGTATATTTTTCCGGCCTTTGGGGTTTTTTTTTTTAAAGGGGGTGGAGGGAGAGTTTAAAAACCCAACCATTTTGTTTATAAGATGTTTCATTTTTAAAAGGGAGAGAGAATCTATTTAAAGCTATTTCAGATCAGGGATTGTCATCCTTTTTGTCCAATGTATTCCTTGTTCTTAAAAAATTTTTTTTACAAACTGTATTAGCCCTTGTGTTCACTAACTCTTCTGGTCACTTTTATTTCTTCAGATATTTATTGGCCATCTGAAAAAGTTTGGCCCATTTGGGTCTAAAAGCTCATTTTCAGTATAGGCGCCTTGGGACGTGGCCCCTATAGGCAGGGAAATAAGGACCACTCTGAGTTGCCAGGCAACTGCAATGAACCCTTTCCAGTAAGGCTCACAGGATGTTGGCCCATGGACCAGACAAGAATGAGAATCTCACTATATCAGAATCCTTTTTTCTTAAAAGCCTTGGTATATGATGAGGAAATTTACTTATTTCTAGCCAGGATTTGACAAAGAAATTCTAGCATCAAATGATCAAAGCTACTTAGGGACTCACTACAGTGAGATTTGTCCTCCAGCCTCTGGGGTACAATCCCTTAGGAGCTGCTCCCAGCACTGTGCCCAGCACACCTGTTGGTGAGGGTGTGAGAAGTGCCTAAGCTGTTGACATGTGATCCGGGCCGCCTTTATTTCTTGGGCCAGGAGTAGCAGCTGCTGAGGACAACAGCTTGCATGATGTGGTTTTAAGAAAGGGGGGGTATGGCTTTTAACATGAACTGCAAAAAGCAGCTTCTCATTGTTGAGATTTTTTGTTTGTGGTTTTCCTTTGTTTTTAATGCCTTTGCATATTATCTTCCTTGTCTGAAACCATACTCCTAAAGGGGCTTTCTTTTTTTTTATTTTTTACTTTTTGAGACGAGTCTTGCGCTATAGCCCTGATTAGAGTGTAGTGGCGTCATCACAGCTCACTGCAATCTCTTAACTCCTGACCTCAAGTGATTGTCCTGCCTCAGCCTCTCAAATAGCTAGGACTACAGGCCTGGCTTAATTTTTCTATTTTTTAGTAGATATGGAGTCTCACTCTTGCTTGGGCTGGTCTTGAGCTCCAAACCTCAGCCTCCCAGAGTGCTAAGATTACAAGGCAGGGCCACCACGCCTGTCCTAAAGTAGCCTTCTTAAGCCCTGGCTAGAAAACCACTCCTTAATAGCCTTAAGCAATAGACAGGTAGTAGAGAATGTGGCTTCCACTGGGCTTACTAAAATAAATTTTTCCACTTTTCACTGAAAGAACAGTGACTGCAGATGGCAAGAGAAACATTTAACCTTTGTAATTCACAGGTGGTAGAAACAAAAATGAACTTTTAAAACCTTAAATATCAACCATTGTCTTTTAGATTTGTGTTGGCTCATCAACCAGGGTGACCACAGGATAAAATATCCAAATATCTTACTTCATCACCATTTAAATCAAAAGGAATATCTTCTTTGAAGTTGAAAGACTCCAATAATAAGTACTTTTTTACATGGACTCAGTGGTGTGCAGTGGTTATGTAGCCACGGAAACTGGGAGCATCTTCTTTTCCACTGAGAACCCCAGTAAATCAGGGTGTGATGGTTAAGTATGGCCAAGTGACCTAGGCCTGGGTGTAGGACGGCCATGGAAACTTAAGAGTCCTAGAACCAGCTAAAAATGGAGCATTGGATGTTCTAACCAAGGTACCTGTGTATGGACACAGCCCCAGTAAGTTGGCTTTTATTCTCTCAGTCACCCTGTCCTCCAAACCCAAGTCCGTTTATTAAGCTCCATGTGATGTCCCACTGCTCAGAGCCCCCCTTATGTGCTGCTAGTCTCTACTTAAAGTTCATGCAAGACTAATGCTTTTAAAATGAGGTCTAAGAAAGAATTACTAATCAAGAGTATTGTTTTTTAAACAGAACTGCCTTTTTCTACTCTTTATATAAACCATTGTGTGGGTCTAACAAGGCACTATTTAAAAAAGAATTTTTTTTTTAATTTTTCCCATAGCACTTAAAGATATTTTGTAAAGACTTTGCTGTAAAGATTTTGTAATAAAATGGTCTAAGGGCTCTTTTTCCAACATTACCATTTTTAAAAAATGTTTTAAAAGCTAGAAAACAACTTATGTATATTCTGTATATGTATAGCAGCACATTTCATTTATGGAAATATGTTCTCAGAATATTTATTTACTAATATATTTATCTTAAGCCATGTCTTATGTTGAGAGTGTGACATTGTTGAAATAATCATTGAAAATGACTAACACAAGGCCCTGTAAATACATGATAATTGCACACAGATTTTACATATTTGCAGACCAAAAATGATTGAAAACAAGTTGTAGTCTTCTATGGTTTTGTAACAAGTTGTACAAATGACTGTAAAAAAAAATACAATTTTATCAAGTATGTGTTATGTGTTGTTATTGCTCTGTTTGGTAAAGGACTATAGATTCTACAAAGGAGAGGTTTGGATTGGGGCAATGCTTTTAACTTAAACTTGCCTGTGGAAGCATTTCTATAGCATCTTAGCCTGTTAACAGGGTCCAGGTTATTGGGGATTTAGGTAGTGTCATGGAGAGGGTCTGCTAGAGTATGGGTTTATGTCCTTGAGGTGGTGGTAAGCTTTCTGCTCAGCCCTGTGTGGAGAGAGCTAGGGAAAGTGGTATCAGTGATCTAGAACCTAGCAGTCCACTCTAAAAAATAGGGAAGGCCCAGCACAGTGGCTCACACCTTTAATCCTAGCACTCCAGAAATCTGAGGTGGGTGGATCACTTGAGCTCAGGAGTTTGAGACCAGCCTGAGCAAAAGCTAGACCCTATCTCTGCTAAAAATAGAAAAACTAGGCGTTAGAGGACACACCTGTAGTCCCACCTGCTTGAGAAGCTGAGGCATAAGGATCAATAGAGCCCAAGAGTTTGAGGTTGCTGTGAGCAATGATGATGCCATGGCACTCTACCACAGGTTGACAAAGTGAGACTGTCTCAAAAAATAGGGAACCATGGGCTGGCTATAAACCATCTGTTTCATCTGCCAAGTCTTTTTTTTTTTTTTTTTTTTTTTGAAACGAACCCCAAACCGGCCCCCTGGGTAGAGTGCCATGGCATCACGCTCACAGCAACCTCCAACTCCTGGGCTCAAGCGAGTCTCCTGCCTCAGCCTCCCAAGTAGCTGGGACCACAGGCGCCTGCCACAACGCCTGGCCATTTCTTGGTTTCAGCCATCATTGTTGTTTGGTGGGCCCGGGCTGGGGATTCGAACCCGCCACCTTAGGTGTATGTGGCTGGCGCCTTAGCCACTTGAGCCACAGGCGCCGAGCCATCTGCCAAGTCTTTAAACCTACCAGTATCTAGCCCTCATAATTGCCTAATGGTGGGTGAGAGAGGTGTGAGTGAATCCAGTACCCATTTGTCTTGCTTCCCTGAGAGGGTAGTCACTCATTCGTAAAGCACTCTGAGATTACATGGAAGGTGCAAAGTGGTGTTTATTTTTCAGACATCTAACAGAGAATAAATACCTACATCCCATGAGTTCCTGTTCCTATCTTTCACTTTTTATCTTAGGTCGTTTCTTGAGCAGAGTCTCCTCTTGGGTTCCAGCCGCTTCTTTCCCGGGAATGGGTCCTTCTGAGTACCTCGGCCAGTGACAGCCCGACAGCACAGAGCCTCCCAGAGCTTTTGTTTAATGGTCTTGCCCAGCTCCAAGCTGTACCTCTTGGGGCTTCCTGAAGGTGTCCGTAGCATCGGCTCCACCACAGCACGGTACAGAGCCCGGTACCCTTCTGTGGGGAGGCCGTGGATGGTTAGTGTGTCCTCCAACAACTGCTGTCTCTTTTGGGTTTCAGGAAGCAGCATTTGGCCCTTCCCAGCTGCTGCCCCACTGTCCCAGCACAGCACTTGGGTGGCAGCCACGCGTTCAGCATATCTGTCCTCAAAATCTTGGCGGACTGTTAGTTTTTTCTCCTTTGAACTTTCTTTACTCTAGCCAGAAAGAAAGCAGAGAAGTCAAAGCTAAAACTTGAGAAGGGAACTCAGAATAATTATCTGGGATTTATGTCCCAGAGTCTCAGTTACAGCAACAACCAACATTTGTCTAGCGTGTTCTAGTTTACAGAATTCCTTCTTATATACCTCGGCGTGTGTTCCCCATAACCCTGTAAAGTCAGCAGGCGACAGCTTTAAAGGCAAGTGTAAACTAAAATAAAATCTTAGAGAGGTCCTTTGTGACTCATTTATTAACAGGCCTAAGGGTATACAAGATGTACCTGCAGGACCTGCGTATATATAACAAATCACTTGAGTCTGGCTGGGCATTTGTCCTGTAGGGTCTTTAAACTTTTTTTTTTGTTGAGACAGGAGCCTCAAGCTGTCCCCCTGGGTAGAGTGCTGTGGCATCACAGCTCACAGCAACCTCCAACTCCTGGGCTCAAGCGAGTCTCCTGCCTCAGCCTCCCAAGTAGCTGGGACCACAGGTGCCTGCCATAACACCTGGCTATTTTTTGGTTGCAGCCGTCATTGTTGTTTGGTGGGCCCGGGTTGGATTCAAACCCACCACCTTAGGTGTACGTGGCTGGTGCCTTAGCCACTTGAGCCATAGGCGCCGAGCCAAATCCTCAAACTTTTTAAATGGGGCCAGTTTACTGTCCCTCAGACCATTGGAGGGCCGGACTATGGTACCCGGGACGAGTTGCCTGCTAAGCAGGACAGGCAGTGGCAGCAAAAACACCCGGCGGGCTGGATAAATGTCCTTGGTGGGCCGTAGTTTGAGGACCCCTGCTAGGGTATCTATGATTAACAGACCCTGGTCTTAACTCAGCATTCCTTTTTTCTGACTCCTGGTCTATTGGAGCCTAACTCTTTCAGCCAACTGTCAACTAAAGAATCTTTAAACCCACCTGCAGGCCCCCACTTTGTGATGTCCCCTTTTCAGGCCAAACCAATGTATGTCTTCCATGTATTAATTTATGACTTTACCTGTAATTCCTATCTCCCTGAAATAGATAAAACCAAACTGTAACCCCACTTGCTCAAGGTTTCTTGGGTGTGGGGTCATGGTCCTCAAATTTGGCTCAGAATAAACCTCTTTAAATTATTTTACAGAGTATGGCTTTTCTTCTGTGGACACAAGGAAATTGGAATTGGTTTGCCCAAGGCCTCACAGCTAGAAGGTTAATAACCACAGCGGTCATCTATTGAATGCCACTCAGGATCCTAATTATTTACTCTGTGCCAGACTCTTCAAAATCCCTTTGCGTGTATTAACTCATTTAATCTTCATGAATCCCTATGATGGAAGAGCTATTTATCCCCATTTTATATGATATATCAAGGCACAAAGAAATTAAGCCCAAGGTTGTCCTCAATTATAGTCCGAATTGGGATTTGAACTCTGACAGCCTAGCTCCAGGGCACACTGAGCTCCGCTGGCCATCATGGAGTGACTGAGCTGGACTTAGGTCAGGCCTCTGAAAGCCATGAAGTTCACAGCCAGATCTATAGTTTACCTCTGGCATGTGTACGTACACCCACACACACTGCCCCTATCGTATCTACCTTTTTCACCATTATTTTCCCTTCATCACAAGTTCCTCCTAGCCACCTCATCCTTCGATAGAACTAAGCAGAGTATAAATAATTAATAAATAGCATGACACACACACACACCCCCGACCTCATGCTATCTCCCTCTATCATGCTGCACTTCCCCTCATCCTGTCTTCAACTCCAGGGTTTCCTTCACCTGGTATAACTCTCCTAAGGTGTTCCCTAGCTTTGCCTTTCCTCCTCCCGTCACATTTTCTCCACCACTGTTCATCCATCATCTACCTCTCTGATGCCTCCGGCAGGCCTCCTATGCCTAGGTGAGCATGGCAGCTGTCCCGCTGGCCGCTTCCACTTGGAACTGATGGTGCTTCTTAACCTGGTCTGCTGGGTGGCATTTGTTGCCAAATTATCCTTGGGCTTTAATCTCTTCGAGAGTTTTGCTTCTCCAAGCTTGCGTGATCCTGGGCAGCACTTATCCTTCAGTTGCCGCCTAAGTACAAGCTTAACCAGGGAGAATGAACTGGCAATTAATGGGTTCTTTACAACTTCCCAAGAAGAGGTGGTAGCTGGTGCTGGGGCATTGATGTTCTGCTTTGCACATGTTCTGGCCATCCAGATGTTGGTGAGAGCTGGTGAGTCCACATAGCAGTCCTGAAGCCTGGTGTTTAATAAGATGGACTGTCGGAGTCCATAGATGGGGATGCTGGGGTCTCGTCTCACATAAATTGGATGCTAGAATTATAAGGGAGGAGGGGAAAGGAATTAACAAAGGCCAGTTCTCAAGCAGAGACTAGGTCTACTTTGAAGGCAAAGTATTCACATCTTTTTATAGACCGTTCCCTCCACAAAATTCTTAGAAATTATGCTATATTACCTGTTCTCTCTCCTGCTCACCAAAGCCTTCTGTACTAAGCAGGGAAGAGAGTAACTTCACAAGGGGACAGTGAGATTCAGATACTCAAAGAACATAGCATGTTAACACAGAAAGTTATAAGGAATAGAAGACAGTTCCCGTCTGCTGGAAATGAGAGGCATAAGGAATGGGTGACAAGGTCACTTAAGACTTCTAGATGAGCGGTAGACACTCCTCAACCATGCACGTGAAAATGACAGCCGCTAAGTTCTACCAAACCCTAAATACACTTTCTAGCCAGATCATCATGAGTCAAGAAGCTCCGCTACACAGGGAACTAAATATATTCTAGGGTCCAAAAAGGCAAAAGCACAATGTAAATGATGCTGGCCTCCATCTCCTGGGCCGAGAACAGGAGAACAACTTGGATAGATTAGAATCACGGATTTAAAAAGACCTGACTTTCTAAGAAATGTCATCCATAAAAAAAGAAAATCACCTTACCATATTTCAGTTGCCTTAAATTTTATTTTAGCTAGCTTAGTAGGGGAAAGAAATATATATTTTCTTTTTCCTTTTTTCTCTTTTATTTTATTTTTTTTTTGGTTTTGTTTTTGTTCTGTTTAAATATTTCTAGCCACCTGTCTTTCTCTGCCTCAGTCATGTATTGGCAAATTGCAGTTTGTTTGGATTTTGGCTCACATGCAGGCAGTTTTAAGCCATTATCGCTAGTATTTGTGATGTCACTTTGGTTTGTGATGTGTGTGTGGGTGGAGGTTACATCATCAGATTTTAGAGTTAAATTATGTTGGAAGAAGTTCTATTTTGTTTTGCTTATACCCTCAGAAACTTCTTAAGCCCTTACTCTCCCCCTTCAAAAAACTGGCTGGGCAGGCTGGCACAGTGGCTCATGCCTGTAATCCTAGCACTGTGGGAAGCTGAGGCAGGTGGATTGCTTGAGCTCAGGAGTTCAAGACCAGCCTGAGCAAAAGTGAGACCCATCTCTACCAAAAATAGAAAAACTAAACAGGTGTTATAGCAGGTACCTGTAGTCCCAGCTACTTGAGAGGCTGAGGTAAGAGGATTGCTCAAGCCCAGGAGTGTGAGGTTACTGTGAACTGTGATGCCACAGCACTCTACTGAAGGTGAAAAATGAGACTGTGTCTCAAAAAAAAAAAAAGTAGAAATGGGTTGGTATATTTTGAAGGTCCTAACGTTCTTAAGCACATCTTTATACAAAATGTACTCAAATACTCAGACCGCATTTGTAGATACAGGTATGAAGCTGCATCTCCACGTGTGGAAGTGCCCTCCTCCATCATAGAAAGAAAGTACTGTGAAATTCTCAAGAGCTGTGCTGCCAAGCGTAGGGACCAGAAGTGGAAGAACACGTTACTGCAGCCCTGAGCACCTCTCCCTGTGTGTCTCTCTCAGGGAGACTACATGTTTTCTGGAATGTGGTTTTATTTTACATCCCATGGCAAATGCAGTAATTGGAGCTGTTAGCAATGTTAACAGCCTGAAACAAGAACAAAGACACCTCTGCCTGGGATCTCTTGGGCAATGCCTCTCTCCTTATCAGGTGCTTGTCCTGCTGCTGGTTTTGATTTTTTTGGTATGCAAAATGCCAAAGGAGGCTCCCTCCTAAGGGGGAGGAGAGTGAAATGATGGAAAAACAGAGTATGAGTCTGGCCGTGGCTCCTGGAATCAAATGTGTTGCCTGTTTGAATTTTCAAGTGTTGTCCCTGGAGTGAATCAAAGCCTGCAGGCAGACCGCATCACAGGCCTGGTGGAACCTCCTCCAGGTCCACAGCATTTGGACCCACAGACACTTGAGAGGACAATGGTGCCCATTCAGCCACAAGCCCTGGCTCACCTCCTAAGAGGTGGGTTAGGTTTAGAGCAGGGCCTTGGAAAGGGTTTGTCTTTGGGAAGGGTTTGCGAATGTCTGGACACTGGTGAGGCAAGCATCTTTTCAAAGCTGTTGAATGTTGGAGAGGTGGAACCTGGCTCTTAGGCTAACCTGAAAATTACCATCTGCCTTTATTCTGCATGGCAAGGACAGAAGGGAAATGTTAGGCAAAAAAGGGCATAAAAGGAGTAGCTCTTCTCCTCTCTTCTTCCCCAGCTTAAGTTTGGCTTTCTCAAAACTCCTCTTGGCAGACACTCATCCATTCTATTTGCTTTCCTAGTTATTTTACTCAATGACCAATGACACAGCTCTGACTCTGGGGAGCACTCTGAGCCTCCTTCTTCTAGCATGGAGCTGTTCCCATGGGTGGCACCTGACACATACTCTAAATTCAATCAAATCCTGCCTCTCTCCCTTCAGTGTATCTCACTTTTAGTTGACTGTGTCCCAACAGGTAACCCACCCCTTCCTGAAAACTAACCCAGGGTACCTCAGCCTATGTTATTTCTACTATGTCAATAAAAGTAATATTTACCGAGTGCTCTTGAAGGCCAGGCACTGTTATAGGCTCTTTATAAGCATCGTGTCGTGAAATGCTACTAACAGTTTTATGAGTTTGGATATTGTTCTCTATTTTACGGATAAAGAAACTGAGGCACAAATTGCTCAAGAACCATGCCCCAGGTCTCATAGCTAGTAAACCAACAAAGGTTGGACTCAACCAAAGTCCAACCACCCTTGCTCTTAACCACTCATAGTTATCACTGTGTTGCTTTGCCTCTTATCTGGTTGGCTCATCCACATACTATCCTTATTCGGTTCTAGACCTACCTTTGTCACAAGAATTTCTCTAGGCTCAAGAGTTGGCATTCCAGGTCCATCTCCCAATAGGCAAGTGAACTCCATCTCTGGACCTTAATTTTCTCATTTGTGAATTGGGGACAGTAACAGTGCCTACCCAAGGATTACTGTGAGGTGGAAGTGAGACAATGCATCTGAAGCACTGGGTATAGCTTCCAGTGCATCATAGGCTCTTTTTTATTTTATTTATTTTATTTTATTTTCAGCCAGGGCTGGGTTTGAACCCGCCACCTCCAGCATATGGGACAGGTGCCCTACCCTTTTGAGCCACAGGAGCCACCTTA